TGCTGTCTTTGGTCATTTTCGGCTTTATGGTTTCAATAAGTGTGTCCATCTGTTGGCTCCATGCGGCCGATACATCAAAACAGAGAGGTAACAATTTGTCCATCCATTCAGTCGAATAGATATCCAATCATAGTCTAGGCAGCATTTGTAAACCGCCTAGAACGCGACTGAGAGCATTTTTTAAATTTCATATGTTGCATAGTAATGAATTGTTGCAGAGTTCCTCCATACTGATTATACAACCAGGCCTGTCCCATCTTTCGAGCTCATGATCCTGTCGTTCATCAATGAAGTAACCTCTGTACTTTCGATCCTAACATACATGTAACGGTTTTTGATGGTAAACGAATGCACCTTTTCTGAAGTCGTTTGCAGTGCCCATCCTATGTTCATTCCAGGGAAAAATCTTTTACATTTATGTCGTGACGCTATTATTATGATTAAGGAGGAAAATTTCGCATCGAAGTAATATTTCCTTCATATTTCTTTTTACTTCGTAGTGCATGTATATCTCATTTGTTAACATTTTTGTCAAAAATCGCAGCTAGGACAGTTCACCTAATACCTAGAAATATTTGTTTCCTTCACATTGAATTATTTGTTTAAATCATAAAACATGTATATAACCATATGGATATCGTAACTTTTTATGTCCGTCATCTAATTTTAGCTCGGTTTAGCCGATTTTAGCCGACAGCCATGCAAAATAAAATTATTGGCCAGTCGCTCAAGTCGGCCATTCCAACGCTGTAGACAAGAGAGTCTGATCCTCCGACATTATCCGTCGCTAGCCTTATACGAAGCCAACTCTCCTTTAGATGATACGACTGTTTACCTGAAGAAAAATTTCGTCACATCTATAACTGCCATCTTCCTTCAAGCCTGTCCAAAGTCTAGAAACGGAAAAGGTCTAAAGAATTAGGTCTCTAGGCTACGATTGCTAGTTATAAATGGACCGCTCCTAAATTTGGTAACCTGCTAATATCGGCTAGTACTTACATTGGCAGAGGAGATCCATTATGGGGTAACATGGTCTAAGTTTATTGGCCCTCACAAAGCAATCGAAGCAAACTTCGCCTATAGACATCTCTTATAAACGTATAGCATATATCGGTGAGTATCTTTTTCTTGTATTATCAAGTTACCAAAGTATAAAAGCTAAAACCCTACACAAGTCGGTTCTATAGTTAAACATTTATATCATAGGTTAGTTGTATAGGAAAGTGTAGATTCGACTCGTTGCATTGATGTCAAAGCTCTCATCTTTCTTGTTATCCAATTTTGCGACCGATAGATTGATTTAGGGTGAGCAGAAGAACTGATGGCCAGTATAACGTTACCAATGAGTAACTATTAAAGCCAGTACCGTGTTCAGTGCAGTACGGTGTACCCAGCTCGTTACGTGACCAAAGTTAGTGGAACTTGGGTAACGAAGCCCAGAGAAATCGGAGCGTGACTTGATACATATGCTACAATGATATGTTGTCGAGGTACATTATCTCAGCAGTGCGGTAGCCATTAGAAACAGGGAAAAACCCTAAGCGGATCGACCACTGATATACAGGGCTGTTCTCAGAGACTTTCACTGGGAATGGTGCTTTACAGGGGGGTTGAACGCAAAATCGACAACAAAATCAGGGCGACGGCTCATAATGACGCGAAAACGAAGATCATTCCACAAGATCACAAACGGGCATACGTAGCCGTACATTTTGAACTCGTTGCTGTATATTTTGTAGCTATTAAACCGCAATCTAACCTTCAAGGCTACCCAACAGATGAGAGATCAACTCTAGAAAAAAAAACCTCTCATATATGTCTCATGTCAAAAAATGGAAGGCTAACATAGTACTATAAGTGATACATAAAAACTTCAGTTTTAATACATTATTCTGTAATCGAAAACACCATGAAGACAACGACACGTCACGCTTGTGTCGTAGTTACGTTTCTTTTTCGTCGAGGTAAAGAAAGCAAGCACAGTCATGTGAATACTACATCGGCGAAATAAAACCTTTATCTAACTATGAATAGCAATAGAGGCACAAAGTTCACCAGTATACTTTATTTTTATATGGGCTATATCAAGAATTCGAAAACTGGCATTGCAGATCGGATAACGTACTCCATAAAGGAAGTAAAAAGAGGATGAAGGTAAGAAATCTGGGGTTTGCGGAGTGGCTTGAAGCATTTCAGAATACAGATTGAATTAAGGTACTATTTTTACACCCGAGAAACTATCTACGCATAAAGCGTCCCTCTGAAATTTCCGTTGAATTCTTCATAGAAGGGGCTATCGTCGGAAATGTGATCTGAATACAAAATCCGATCCTTCACTTAGTTTATCACAGTTATCAATTTGGACAGCTTAACGAGCTAAATATATAAAATTCTACTACTCATTTTGCTTTTTTGGTCGGGTATTTCTATTCAATAGCGTAACTAATCTATTTTGAGTAAGCACCATGTGGGCAATTTGCTGCTCTAAGCAACAATAATTAATTTAGTACAAATAAAAATCGTTTTTCTGAAAACGCCCAAAAGAATAGGCACAACACCGATCAAAATAAAAAAATGGCCATGGTAATCTCCTTTCTACTTTGAATGTCCGAAAACAAATCTGTCATTTTTCCCATCAGTAACTTAAAAAAAAAGTCCAAATCTGCACTCGCCGTCATTGTCCAATATGCCAACCAATATCTACTCTTTTTTTGCCAAAAAATGTCTAGGTTAGGCATCAAAGAACTCGCCCAGCCAGGCATTGAAATCCCTCTTCAGTATTATATGTACGGACGCTTATTTCGTTTGCCAGTAATCGAAAAAGATAATAATTCGTCGAAGAAAACATGATGATAGGTGCAAAAAAGCCTTCTATTCAAGCTTTTGCAGGGCGCCTCTTCCACTGCTTGCCGTACGTCGTTTAGCGCTGTCGTGATAAGGAATCTCGCCTATCGGGTCTTTCGTGTTGGATAGCCTCATTGGTTCGGTGTAAACGAATTTGGACTTGGCGTATACTCTAAAACCATGTATTCCTACTCTGCTTTATATCTGCGTGGAGACACGTTTTGCAATGGTGACAGTTCTTTGTAGAAATAGGTCATTAGGGCCGCGTGTTGCTCGATGCCGGCCACGATGTTGATAGGCAATGAAAAGTCGTATTTACGCGATGTTCATTCCGAAACTCTGAATGCATATAAAAGATTTAAGGCACGTAATGATACTCATATGAGTGCAATTCATGTTATCACTAAACATACAAGCTACCGACCATTTTTTTCAAAAATGTCTTCGATCGGTCCATCTACCTCAAATGGCCAAGCGGTGCGGGTGATCCTTCGATTTCAAGATGCCCATTTTGGTACTTCGTAGACAAGCTTCAAAAATATCCTTGAATATAGTTTTCACTACATGTAGCACAAATTTCCTATTCTGTTTCGGTAGCTATTTGATTTTGGCAAACAGCGAAACATAATAGGTGCTGAAAATTCTTTTTTTTTTGCTTATCTTATAAAATTTATCTTAAGTATTTATCTTGGAAGTCTTGAGTTCGATATGAAAATCCGTTCACTGTATAACGAAATTATACCGAACATATAAAGCAGAGCAAAAGAGAGAGAAGAAAAAAAAAGAGAGCTTTGAAGGCAATAGAAACCAAAAAAACAATCCGAAAGAGCTTGTTTCCTATTTATATTTATAGATATATATATATCTATAAGTGGGAAAAATAGCACACCAATTTCAGCAATCTGCCCTATAGTCCCATGTCAAAACGCTGCGCTCAAAGTCAAAGCGCAAAGAACGAAGGTAGGGATATGAGCCGAAGAAGCATAGTTCTCTGTGAAAAAACGTATTTCAAAGGATATACAAAGGTGGGTCTAGGACGCATCGATGACACCGTCGTTGTGGGCTAACCTCCAACGGGTTCATCTATTCCTATCAATGCAATACGCAGATTATGACAGGTCGTCCCGTAAAGAGGGGACGGACATATCGGGAAATAAGGAGAAAGAGTTTCAACAACAATTGTTGAGAAGAGAAACGATTCTTTAAACGATTATTTATGCATTTGTGTGATCTGCCATATTGCGGTTTAAACAAGTGTTTGAAGGGGACGTTTTTGTGAATGCGATTAATAGACCCTTAGAGTAGAACCAGTGAAACGTTCAGAAATTATATGATTATTTTTGCCACGAGATACTGGTTTATGTGCTCCCAGGGAAGTGACATAGGATCGAACTATCGCTCTCGAACGTCTATAGACAGGAAAACCTCCTCCTTTCTTCATTGACACGCAGTAATGTGCGCGACACGGAAACCTTCTGGTTATAATTGCCCCACAATCGACACCTCAGTTTACGAAGAGAAGATAAAACATTCAGCGAATGGCAGGAGGAAAGGTTGAGTCAATTTAAGAAAAAAAAAATCTTTAGCACATGTTATGATTAATTTTGCTGCTCACTGACGGTTATCTGGAAGCACCCTTTTAAACGTAAGCCATATTTTCACGTGTCGTCAGTCTCAGGCTGCCATACGCAAATTTTGCACAGTATCGTCGCGTATTTTTCATTGAAATTAGAGATATCATCGTCTTCTTAAATATACTACATATTTAATAGTTAAATGCTACAGAACCATTTTGTAACTTCAAGAAAAAGGCAGACAAGACATAGGCTCACTGCATGGTAGCGAGCTATAAAAAAAAAAAGAAGCTAGAATTAAAACTCTTTCACCTTCATAACTTGCCTTTCAACGCATTTGTGTGCCTAACAAGGATAACACTTAAACTAAAGCGTGGGTAACCCTAGAACTATTGAAATGATAATAGAATAAAAATTACTATTAAATTAAAAGTTTATAGTTCCTTTTCATAGGTTTTGCAATATTAATTTCTCTTGAAATTTACTACAAACTTCTAAGTACCGCATTACGGTACAGACGGCTCCTTTAGAAAATAGAAATTTTAATGTATCGCGACGTTAAAAGTACATAAATTCACTTACAGCGCAGGTAGAGTGGCTTCCTCGTCGATTGAAATCTCATCGGCAAGCGCCGCCAGCTCCGGTTCATAGTCATCCTCGACACCTGAAATGAGGTTTACGATCATTGAACACTATGAATTACTTTAATGAAATTAAAAATCGCTTTCTTCCATGGCCGGAAACGTTGCATGCCAGATCCCAAAATAGTCCCTTTTTAAAGTGACAAAATAAGAATCACTGAAAGTGTACGTAACGTGGGCGAATGGCCTAGGGGGTTGTATCCCACTAAGACGATACGATGAGCCGATCGAAAAAGCTCCAATAAACTACTAAAATGTACTCTATAGGTATCTATACGTGTAGTAAATCTCGGCCCCCGGCAGCGGCAAGCCGGATTTCGGCCTTCCTCTCAAACAACCATTAGTTCAAAACATTCAAACCTAAACTAAAGTAAATATAGTACTCTAATGATTCCTACTTTTTGCTTAACAATTTTAATCTAGCCCTATTCAACCTAAACACCCATGTGCAGATTATGGGTGATCGGTACTATTACTGATAGCCAACGTGTTCATGTCGCCTCCCTGTATCCCTTCAGATACAGCTTCGAAGGACAGCTTTTGCTATCTGTAATTGTCGGCTGCTTATCTGTCTGTAATTGTTTCCTGTCTTAAATCATGCACGTGGCTAGTCGAAGCTCGTACGTTTTTATCCGAGAAACGCTTTATCGATCGGACTGACACCGATACATGCATCTAGATCAGATTAACTAGTTGATTTCTTGTTGAATCTCGTACCAGCGAATTTATTTGTCAACTTTGACACGTCTAACTAAACGAGTTCGTCACCGAAATAAATGGATCTGAATTCGATCGAAGACGCGCTAAAAATAACCACGAAACGTATCCACATATTCTAAACAATCGATAATTAGTTCAAATTTCATCTTCCGTCTCGTCCACCTAGGCTACCTTTATGACGCTTGCCATCGAAACAATGGTATTTACCACCAGCGTGTTACGGGCCGTTGGGTTCAGTGGCAACCCATCCGCAGACCCAGCGTACGCCATTACTACGTTTTATCAGTTCAAATCAACGGGTATGTCAGTACACAGTACGCATATACGGGCTGTCGAAATGATCTGTTCTACGTGTGGAGTCTCTTGAACGCCTGCGTCCTACGACAACTACCGCGGCAACAAAGCTATATCTATTCAGGCCAATTAACAACCAAGCAGTTTTTTGTTGTCAGAAGCCGTAAGTGCGTCTATTAAAAACTGTGCAACATTGTTCTGTTCTTAGGGAAAGCTAATATAGATCATGTACTTGTCAACGGCACTTAAAACATGCATTATAGCTGGCAAGTTTATCGCAGGCTCACTTCACTCTAACTGTCGACTATGTCAAATGTGAACCGCTGACAATGGTAAGGACCTGGAACGCTAAGATAATTCAACATTGACAGCGTTTTGGCGGGCATTTTTTAACACTCTACCGAGGTTAGAACCATGTGTATTTAAACGTTAGGTGAATCACTCATTAAAAAGTTCCACATTTGAACCAACGAATTACGTACCCTCCAAAAGTTCTTTTGTAACCGCTGTTTTCACTGTGCCAGACCTCACTATGCCTTCGTAGTTCATCAAAGCGAAGCGAAAAGAAAAACCATAATAGCAATTATTAACGCCAGCCTTCGTTGTGTACATATAGAACGTGCTGCATGTAGCATATGTCAGTGTGAGCCCCAAGTATGATTCGAGTTCGACCAATTGTATGTAATCGGCAGACTAGGGACGAAGGCCTTCCGTTGCCTAAATTTTACTTGTTGTTATGTGATAGCGACCATATTCCAGAAATATATTGATTCCTCTCCAGAAGTAGTCTCCTTTTCCTCTATCATGAATACTGGGTTTCCCTCCTTGCAGGTCCAAAAAGCTACAGTCCCTTTTTTAGGCTTTCGGACACCCATTTTTCCTTCAAACTAGACCAGGCTTTGAACTATACCTTTATTCTGCATTTGCCCAAACAAAGATGCCTTTTGTAAGTGCCGAGTCAGTCTAACGACTGCCGCTTTTGCTAGCCTAACAGAAATTTGATAAACAGCTTGTCGCACATGGCCTCCTTCCTAAAGGCCGAAACATCATACAAGCTAACACTGCAAAGTTAGGTATCCCCAGTAGAAACATCCAAAAGTAAATAGCCATCATAACCTTTTTACCACTTACATAACACGGAACACTATATGAAAATGATGCTCTTCCAGCTGCTATGGCGCGGATATATATGTCAGGTGAACAGGTCCATTCGGATAGCAGAGCCCAACGACTTCCGCTGAGCCGTCTGGGATAAAATGAAGGATGGCAGGACCATGAAACCTTTAACAAGAAGGAAAACGAAGTGTCTACTCGAGTGTTGCTTGGACGAATAGTATTTTCAAAACAAAAATGTAGAGAGAACATAGAGGAAATAAAGAGTAGCCTTTTTGTTGCACCTGCCCGTTTTAATGAATTGGTTAAAGCTACCACACACTGTAGATGGGGCTATACATACGATAGTTTAAACATGGAGCGTTGCTTATGAGTTGTTTTTGAAATTATATCTAAAGAAGAACATATATTTGTACTTAATGATTTCTCTTGCATATGCTAAAAGCGTCATTCTTAACGATCACGTTTACCTAATATATTTTCAGTTTATCTCAATTATAGCTTTGATTCTGGGCCCGAATCGCTCACTAGTCGTTTTCAGAACGCGCAGCGCGTAGCCGTACGTGAAGCGATATTGGTATGTGTAAATTTGTTGAAGGGTTATTAAAGATCCAACAGGGTTATATCTTTGAAGGGTTCAAAAATACGAGTACTCGGAACGTGTGCGAAAAGGTAATTGGTCTCAAATAAATAAAGCTAAGCCCATTGGCATTTTCCTGAGGAAGGCAGCTATTAATTTCCGTACCAAACATCCAGATGTGTCAAAAATGGCATTTACAATCATTTTGATTCAATTTTGACCCCTTTTAGATCTAAATCCTGTCGAAAATCATAAGGTTTGCCTTAGCCGGTTCTTTCAGGCGCTACATGAAAATTGGTAATGACGTATGCCGTCAATTTTTGAGCATAAAAGGTAGTTCATAATTTCTGTGGGGACCTACTTAGTATGAAGAGATCGGATAATACAATGTAATAGTAGACTGCGCTGAAATTGCAACAATAACGCGCCGTTTTTTACCATGATAAGTTTGTTGTTGCTTTTTTTTTTATAAAGAACTGGCTTTTCTTTAGCAGTAAGGATAGCGGACAAGAAGAATGATGTTCTGCATGCGTACAAAAAATCTTCGTCAAAAAAGCGTTATCATACTTTTCTTAACACCCATGTACGTTTTAAAATACACTACAAAAAACCAAAAGAGGCCTATTGTCTAAATGGAAATTTTCTTCCCTTGTCCTAGTGCGTCACGAATAGTTTATTACAAATTCAATATTTTTGGCTTTAAGTTGTAAAAGCTTGACTAATTATGCCTTATCTAGTATTCTCTATCTAATAAATGTTTCGGGTCTTATGTCCAGCACTTTCCTTCAACATCGCTTTAGATCACAACACTCGATATGAATCCGTTGAGGACATCGACTTGTTAAAGGTGTACTCGTAACTATCTCTTATATCTAAACTGATACCCATTTCTGCTCGACTTTTTCTCGCCATTTTTGGCCGAAATCACTTTTTTGTTCTATTTCTAGTCATGTTTACACAAAGCCACTATAGAATATAACGGATTCAAGTAAAGTAGTCCTGGCTAAATGTAGCAATCTTATCTTACTATAGCAAGTTTGTAAATAAGTGTCCTGTTAGTATTCCAAGATAATGCCGTTGCCGTGTACAGTATTATGAACTCTTATCTAGGTTAGCGCGAAGCCAATGGGTCTTCAGAAACGACCGGAGAAAATGTACGTTTTAAATAGCGGTGTGATCTTGAAATATACGGTTCTTTGAAATTCACAGATAAACGCTGCTTAGTGGCTCAACGATATCTGAACAGCGTCCGTTCAACCGAGTCCATATTAACTCGGCTAGAAGATGCACGGCTACCCGCCATTTTGAAAACCTGGTCGGTCAGGTCGTGCATAGATAAATAACCCACAAAGGAAAAATGAGTTGTCCACCGAGGCTCGCTTGGGTACGAGAGACACCTCCTATGTACATGTAGAACCTACACAAATCTAAGCCAATATATGATTCCGAAAATCTATAGAATCCGCTGTTATAAACGTAAACAGGTGGAAGCTGCTCGGTTTTTAACGTGGTTTCGAGATCCATAACGGTTATGAATGTAATAATTATTGGCTTACCGAGCGTGGTGCAACTATCGGTGTCGTGGGCTTCAAACAAACTTGTTTAAGTTATTTGCAAGCGTAGTAAACTACAGTTTGTGAGGAACGTCTGGACGGACTCATTGTCAGGGACTGATAATAACTAAGTAAAATTTTGTTGTGGATCACATTCATTTCTGCTTCGATCGCCGGCTTTCGTTGCACAACTCTGATCGTAGAGCTCAGCTAATAGTCCTCTCATAACGATATCACTCTTCGCCCTATTGTACTACGTCGATATATTCAGGTAGTTTTTGACTGTTTATTGGCTCAAGCTGCTCGAATAGCATCAAAACTTGTTTTTTTCTTCAATTAAGCCTTTATCTATTTTAATGTTATTACTATTAAATTTTTTTTATCAATTATTAAGGTGGCAATGTATCTGGACGTCGAAAACACAAACACAAAGTACCGGCCTCTAAGTGTAGCTCAGTGACTTTTTACATCACATACATTTTTAAACGTCGGCTCACGATCCTTACGGTTAGAATGCATAACAATATTACATTTACCTTTTGCGTTATTTACTCACTGACTTATAGATGATGAGTCCATTGAGCGACTACTGGCCCTGAGCGGTTTCAGCCCTTTCGAACTTAAGTTTAATATAGTGTACTTTCAACAAGCTGATATTGACGAGGTACGTTTTGTTATGTTTGATCAAAGTACATTAAAACGGGATTTTGCTTGAATGTAGGCTTTTAAGGAGACGATTTTTTCTTGTTGGGATGCAGGAGCCAGTATGTGTAACAAATAGGAATGCGCTCACATTTGTTCGTTACGTTATTTAGCCGCGTCGCTTCATATATGCTCGCCGCAGGATGTACAGTAAATTGTTCATATTAGCTGTTTTTTTTATTTCTTTATATATACGCCCTTTTCTTTATGTATTTTCCTGTTTTTATTATTTTTCATTTTTGTTCGTATTTCGCACCGAACGCAGTAAAATCAATAACAGTATCGAAACCTCGCTGCCACCGCTGCTTACCCTGAACCTCTCTTCCAGCGTCGGAAAACCAGCCGATGGGCCAAAAAATGGCTATGCGCCAGCGGGAAGTGAAGGCGCGTAACAGGCAAGGACATGGCGTGTAGTCCAAAGGAATGCTACTGCAAAGCCAAGCGTGCCTAACGAGTAATCCCTTCGAGCGATAGCGTACTTGTAGTGTTACTAGTAATAGTGTGTGTGGGGGGGGGGGGGAAACAATGGTGACATTACAATAGCAGAAATATGTGTGAGCGGCAAGTATTTCGTCCACTGTATTCTCTTATCCTATTTGATGGTCCATTTGAGCTGTGTGGTCATTCCAACAATGTCCTTTGGAGGAAGGCCACGGGTCGGCTGACTCGTGGCCATTAACTAACTGGCCTGAAGTCGAGCTCCATCAGTAGTAGACACGAGAAAGGAACAGTGTGAAGAGTTTATAACAGAATCTAATAGAAGACGAAGGACACATTCGTGTAATGTTCTCCTACCTGGACCTTGGCCTTTTTGGTCCAGTCCAATATGCCCTACAACGCCTAAAATTCCCTGACAACATCATCAGTTCGAAGGCTATTACTGGAACCTGACAAGCACACGTCTTGCCATCAGAGCAGTCCATCCAAAAAACCTTATTCTCTGGTGAGATATATCACCACCTTAAGCCTCAAAGTGAAGGGAGCAAAAGTGCTGCTCCTCATTTTTCGTCATTTTCTCTTCTTTTACGACACAAAGAAGTGTCTAATCATTAGGAAACGGTAAGGATTTAGAGAAAACGAGAAAAAGACTGGGAATGGCGGTCTGGGAACACGTCATAGGCAATGCAGCAATGGTGCTAGTGTTATTTACTAATACTGATGTCCAGTCGCAGCAGTAGAACAGTCCTACCGAAAGACCATAATCTACTTTGCCTTATACTCAAGGAAACAGGACAAGGTGATCGGATAGGCGAAATCGACGTTGCGACAAAGTGGCACCAGCTGCATTTGATCGGGCTACAGAGGTACGACCGAATACCATTACAGCAGATAACGGACCGAAATAGCCGGACTGAGAGGCTCTTTGTAATTTACGTGAACTTTTTTGTAACACTTGGCGACAACTGAACGAAAAAACAGCATAGAAGGAAGTGACCAATTCAGGTATAGCGTATGCTGCGATAGAGTGTCCTGTTTCCACTGAGCACTGAGTAAACAAATACAGCCATTGTTGGCGCGTTTATGTTAAACTAGCTTAAGTGTAACCGTCTGCAATCGATTCGAAGGATTCATGGCGTACGGTGTACGATTATCCATGCAGAGTTACCTGTATTTCTGCTTGCTTGCTGAGCAGATTTTTCATTGGCAATAAAACGTGTCGCTATGTTGTCATCCAACGATTCCATACTCTACAATAAGCTAGAGGGTGGAGGGTCGTTGCATCTTTCGAACTTATTTTAACTTATCTTCGAACTTATCTATAGCACTTAACTATGAGCAGTCCATCCACAAATGTTTTTGTCAACATGTAATTTTGCAAGTGGAACGGCACTCAACCATTGGATTAGGCTACCACTGCTTTGTCAATTGAGGGAATAGAAACTGTAACACAAAAGGTAAGCAAATCTATATTTTTCGAATAGATTTCTGCGCAAAATCGTCTACTATACGTAGGGAAAAATGGCCGGTCGTTTCTTGGCCAACTAAATGTCGTTTTTTTACACAGTTTTGATTATGTTTATAGTCGGATCTAATCAAAATAATTGTAATCGGTCGTTGCAAGTTGTTATAAATTGTAAAAAAATTAAAGACTCATTGTACAATATTTACGTGATCCAAATGAACGCGCAAAATAGCAATTCATAGCTGAATTGATGAAAAGCAAAGTAAGGATCGTCTGGCTCTAGACAATCAAGCAGATCAAACCTTAAGATACTAGACATCTTCCTTGTCTACCGGTTTGACATTGATGTCTGAAGTAAACAGCAAATGATCCAGCAAAAAATCAGCCAATCAGAAGAAACGAGCAAGGCATGCAAGTTGATTACGTTTTCTAAAATTGACAATGCCTCAGGTGATCTTGTTATTTAGCCAAAGAAGCTGGGCATTGGCCGGGAATTGTGTAAGAACTTTTAGTCTATACGAAAGTCATTTGTCAGAATAAGCTAAATTGTCTAGATCTATACCTGTAGGCTATAGTATTATTATCCATATTACTTGCTTAGTTAAATTTCAGAGCGGCGCTTTAGGTGGTGCTCAGACGTCTGGTTGGAATTATTCTTTGACTCTCCGCATTGGCCATCGACCCAGGCTGTTTCGCAGAGTACTGATTTTTTCAAAATTCTAATGATAGAATCTTTGCAAAACTAGTATAAGAAATGTTCTATATGAATGTTTTAGCCCCTCGTCCAATTTCGCGGCTTCAGGATAGATAAGTTAAACATCTCGGTAGATTATTTAAAAATCCACGTCGCAGTATGATATGCTGTCGGCATCTTAGTGTCTGAGATGGCCAAATATCGATCTAATATGGAAATACCTACTGAGAAGAACTCCGGTTCATAAACTAACAAAAATAAAAAAAATTTTAAGACTTAGTGCCCGTTAAAGTCTAATTTTCAGTTATGAATGAAGGTTAAATATAAGAAGCCGTCACACAAACATTTGCATACAGTGCTTTTTCAAGCTGTAAACAATTACACAAGCTTAGAATGAATGAAAGGCCCATCAAGTAACAGTCTGCAAAGTTCCAAGAAAGCCATTTATTGCTTTTTAGCTGTTCCGGACACGGCTTTACGAGGACAAAATGTCAAGGAGAGCAAATCTCGAATCTGTTTTTTTACAGACAAACGGCGCTGTCCAAAATGGTCCTCATAATAGTTATATTTTTACGAAATTCAAATATGCACTTATCAGACATTTGTATTATCAGACATGGCACATAATGTTCCTTTATTATACAAATTTTAATTAATTTCTAAAATATGCTTTTTTTGTATATAATAATCATGTATTTTCACTCCGTATTGCATTTAAATACAACTTGCCTTTAAACCCAGGATATAAAAAATTCAATTTTAAAAGTAGCTCTGCTTAGAATCATGCCTAATATTCTTTCCCCCAAAACATATGTGGATAGTTCTCTTGCTTACTTTCGATTGTTGCACCAGAGTCAGGTCTTTCAGCGTCAATCGTCTGTCTGAAAAGGAATAAAGTTATCGATAACACTAAGACCATAGCGCCAAATGTCCATTGGTAAAAGCGAGCAACGGTAAATATTCAGTATTTGTCTCGCAAACGAATTTTCTAACGGCTGGGGTCCTTTTTGAGTGGAATGGCGCACTGTTGGCCTGATAACATTCTGATCATTATTTCGAGCCAGCTAGAGAGCGCAACGTCTCCCTGCATGCTTGCGTAGGACTAGCTGAATGTAAGGCTTCCAGCTGTTGTTCCTGATGCATGTGTATGAGCCCACAGCTAAAATCGGGTATAATGAAATACCTATAATTTTTAGCAGACTTAGGTCACGATTCATTCGTGACTCATATATTTTGCTACCCAACTAAAACAGGTAGTATCAGTCGTTAATGATTTATTCTCCTAATCTATTATATTAGATATACCTATATGTTAGATATAAATATGCTACAAATAACTTGAGCTTGAAAACCTCTTAGTTAGAGCTCTGTAGGGATATCCTAATTAGCCTTTTTCCAGTTGAACCAACTTACTTTATAACCGAATTGCCCAGTTATTGAGACATTATGTTCTCTGGTTATCGAAACGTGAAACGTAAATTTCAGGCTATAACTACAGCAAGTATAAACCAGGAGCTATAGAGATTCAATGTGATTGAGTTGACTGAGTAGAAATGATCTTAATACGTAGATCAAGTATTGCTAGCTTGTGGTCGAAAAGTATCTTTTTTGAATTTTTTAATTTGCTATTTTGATTCGGCCTTCAGGTTCTGGCGAATATAGGTACTGGCGACCTACCCGTTACGAAGAGGCAATCCAACCAGGCCCATGATACCTTGTTGCAGCAGAGCCCGTTCAGTGGTCCGACCTGACGACATCTGGCTGTGATAGTCTTCGATAAAGTGCGCCTGCAGCGGCCTTGACTGATAACCTATCTTTCCATTACTTACTGCAGCCGAAGAAAAGAAACGGTACGCAAAAACCAGATTATACGAAGTAGGAGTTACATTACGTGATCATTTAGTAGTAATTTAATAGGCCATTTCTCCTTTGCTGTTTGATAACTGCTTATCGGCAAGACTCGTTAATAGATTGGAATAAGTTAAATAAATGGAACGAATACATATAGCTAGTGAATATCATGTACATGCAGTGATTGGCCATATTTGTCTTTTCGCGTTCGTACACATAAAAGATGCAACATACATTCAAAGCAGATACATAGATCTAAAATGTAATTAGTTTCACAACTATGTCTACGAGAAAAATGAATATAAATTTCCTACCATGTAATACTACATAATATATATAAATACACTTATAAACAATTCTCATTAACTGAATAATAGGCTGATATAAGCTAACTTGTAGGGACACAGTTAATGTTATGACAATACGTTACTAAGAAGTTTAGCAAACACCTACAGTTTAGCAAAGTTCAATAGATAATTATGATCTAAGCGTGATACGACTGTTACAGTTACCTATTTGCGGAACCCTACGAACGAAAGTAGATCTGGCTTCCATTTAAAATGAATATAGGTACATAGAAGAACAGCCGTATAATGTAAAATGGACTGTCAGAAGAAAGCCACCATTTTTATCAGCGCTAGATGATAATTTTGCTGCATTATTTTGACATTATCCTAGTGCCACATGTTTCTAATGTTTGAAGGAGCGCGTAAATGGTTTCTACTATAGAGGTTCTTCCAAACTCGCAAGGGTTTTAGAGCACAATTAGCCCGCAGCGCTTCTAAGTGCTAACGTCAAATGAGACGGCAGCTTAAATAACACTTCCTTAGACCTTTCAGACCCTCGTATCATGCGTAGCACAGTGATATTTCAACAAATACTTCATTTGGTAGGAGAATAGCATAATTAAATCAGCGCGCTTGGCAAGGGAATTTTTTAGTTTGGGTAGCAACGAACGTAGAACTTTGAAGGTCTCTTTGGATCAGAGAGTCTTTCTTCTCTGTGCCCACCGACATTCCGAACTCAAAGAAGGCTATTTCTGCAGACCCGGGCATATAGCTCTTTGGTGGCGGGCGAGAACAGAGAGTTGTTGACGCTCTGTTGACGCTAATTCTAGACTGAGCTGTGCGTAAAAATTGGGGTCGTCATTTCGAACCCCAAGACAAACTTTGAGATAGTGTAGTACGACTTTAAAGGGGGCAATCCGTTCGTCACATTTAAGTAAATTTATTAGTTTCTAGCCATTGTTATTTTCACAGCGTTCTTCAGTTTGAAAAATGGTAATAGTCAATAATAATAATTACTACTATTATTACCACTACAGTGATATCGTATAGATTTTGTACGGGCATCGTCGCATACGCTACTAGCACATCCATAGGTGCATTTCACTATGCTATAAAAACCATAGAGACGGTCCCTGCTAACAGAGAAATAATCGATCTTCGAATGCAATGCAATAAGAGTCGGCGATGAAATATTCATATGCCACCCCATCACCATTATAATTGTATTCCAGTACTCTATGGCATTGTCTTCATCACAAACTCCGCCATCACCTTCAAAATGTGCTATGTTGACTATGCCTAAATAGAGACGAGTGTTTTTTTTATTTTTATAGCGAATAACACGTCAACTTTCAAGCTTCACGACAGGAAACATCTCTGGTGTCCTCAGTGAACTTTACCTCAGTTTGGCGTAAATAATATGATAAATAACATTTTGCATTCACACTGATCTGCAGCTTTGTTTGTTAAAAATTATACAGGATTGGCTTTAGGAGGGCCAACACTTCAGATGTGTGTGTATGCTTGATTTGTATACCATTATACATGTTTGTGGGGGGCGTGTATTTGTAGATTAGATGATATATCAGTGCTGCCTTTAGTCGATGTTTTTGTAAATAGTGTTGCTGAGGCGTCATATTCAGATTATAAAGGAACGAGAAACGTGCTTGCAGCCGGTGCCGCTGCATATTCTCCCTTTCCTCATCGTGAAAACCCAGGTTTAAATGTTTATCTCTATTGATCTTACATATTACCCGAATGTACTGAATAGTGAATCTCTTCATCAAGAGCCGACAGCCACATTTCTGTTCCTAAATACATTGTGTGTCGGTAGCGCCTTTGACATCATCATACAGATGCTCATTTAAATACGTGTACGGCCATGTTGTAGCCTGCTGCACGATGTCATCGACTTAACACTTTTTCTTTGAGGCGGCGCTTTTCCACAACGGGAACCTCTTATCGCCAATGCTCTCGCTAAACACCTGTTATGCGCAACGTGATGGAGGCTCTTTCAAACGTTGTGCAGATATGCCAACAGTCAACCGCATGATAGTATTATGAGGACCGAGAAAGGCACCGAAACTCTGCATGCAACGCGGATTTTTTTGTAGTTGAATCCAAAAAATAGCCTTAACTTTAGTTTAAATCTTGAGAAATTTAGATTTTTGGACCTTTTCCGTTGCTGGCAAAAGTAGCGATGCTTTGTGTACCAGATGCGAAAACAACAATCCGTAAAGGACTAACTTCTACTTTTTAGGGATTATCCAATTAACAAGGGGTGCTAAATAAAGTAAATTATATTTGTGATCAAATTGCCCCCGCAGATCGCGTGTGAAATTTTTTTAAACTGAGAGATACAAAATACGATCCAGATAAACATTTGAAGTTAAACGAACGTCCGCATGTTTTTCTTAAGCACTAGCCATGCTTATCGTGCAAAAAATGCTTATGCACCCAAATGTACTGTTCGCTGTAGGTTCACCGAAAACCATTATATTTACCCGAATTCTATTGTCTCTGCGCTTGGAATATTTTAAAGAAATACGCGCTAAAAATGCGGCTTACGCAGCAAACGATCTTGGCTTCTCTCTACCGTGCGTCTTACTCTGTCAAATCGTCAATCAGGATCGGCGTCAAAAATTAGATGATGGTGCTATCTGCTTTTACTCGTTCAGGTTACTTAGCATTAATGGATCCTACACTTGTTTGACGTTAGAACAATAACAAACTAACAAACATAAGGTTAAACAAACAACGTAGCCAATCCCAGGAATAAGGATCGAAGCGACTTGACTATGTAAACTGAATCACTTGCAAACCTACGTACCAGTAAGCTATAACACTGCGCGTTCTATCCGTAATGTATATGTCTTCTAGGCATATACATTACGGACATATACAATATATATATATATACCTTACTTAAATGGTGCGCTCGCTAACAAAATGAACTAAAACGAATCAGCGATACAACGGATCGAGATTACATTGAGATCGAGTCCTGCTCAGAAGGCCAATTCGTGCAAGACATGTTGTTTCTAAGCGGCCGGTATCACTGTGCATACAAAGCTGCGTAGAAGCATGCGCCAATGGAATTGTGCAGGAGGCATTCGGCCTATTTGTTCCGATCTCAGACTCGCCTCATCTCAATTTTAAAGGTAGTTAACGCTCACAAAACAGATCTGATCAACTCTACAGAATAGCAATAGCGCGAAGTTTGCAGGCGCAGCCTTCTTTAAACGATCCTTCTTCTGTTGCCACTTGTTATGTTCGCTGCATGCCGTACACTGTTAAATCTACTTGTATTTGGCGCAAATGCCCACCCCTCTGGCTGCTTATGTTTATGCCCACAGATTACCCCTATAGGTGCCCAATCCCATCGAAAGTACACCATCGCTCAGTATTGCCGGTAGACAAGCAGACAAATATATCTGGTGGTAGAAAAATGAAATAAGTAAAAAATTAACGGATCCGTCTTACGTGTATTGTACGACGGTTGTGGAACATCGTCGCTACGTTGAACCTAGAAGAACGAATTAGCATGGTAGCCAAGGAAAGAGACTTTTAGCATGGGATATTTTGAGGATGTAAGCTGGAAAGTCGGAATAGCTGAAACGTAACGCTTGCTCTTTGCGAGCCTTAGGGGCCCGGCAAGCATTTAGACCCCATCGTAGCAGTGGCTTGTCCCTTGTACTGATTCACGCTAGAGCTCAAAGAAAGGCTTTGTTACTGGCCTAGTGGGGCAAAGAAAAACTAAAGAGAATACTCCAGCCTGCATTTGAGGTGAAATAGTAGCAAACGAGGGCATTACCTTTTCCGCGCGACAGACGATCTTGTGTGTCTGCTGCTTGCAACCTATTAGCGGTACAATGACTGTAAACAACTCGTCGGGCTAGAAGCGTGAATACAAATGTCTTGGTTTTTGCTAAGCTTTGGGTAGCATGTTTTATAACTGAAATTGCGTAGCTTACATTCCTCATTGTTGAGTTTTTACAAAAGAGCTACTCTTTGCCTTTAAGGGTTCTAGCAAAATTTGCTTCGCTTCCACGTTTGCCCAATTATGTCAAGTCTGAAGTGGTAAAACAGCAGAGAGTCCAAATGGGATACACCAAATATGTGACAGTTCTATGGAGCAATCAGGGTGGAGCTGGGTATTAAAGCGATAAGCCAGTGAGGCAGCGTGAAATAAATTAGAAACAAATATTATTTAAAAGTTAATTCGAAAAAATCGGGTACGATCGTACAGACTTGTTGGCTACACGGACTTGTTCTGAAAGCTAATGCGGTTTTGATCGCAGTTTATATTGAAAGAAGCGACACGTTGCTTTACGTAAGTAGGTGCATATATATATAGAACATGTTTGTATTAGGTTTGTCATATATCGGAGAAGGAAAGCTAGAAACCAGTCCATCAATATTACGAGTTCACTTCACTAACAGACGCAAGGTACACAACACACCGTATAAACGTACGCGTCTGGCGGTAACGCCTTCCTACCGAAGTAGGCCATTTCGATTCAACTTCAGATTATCATCAATTAATAAGTAACAAAGGTGTCAATGAGGAAAAAGTTAATCTAAAACTAATGAACGAAGATTCCTTCTAACTTTACTAACCTTTTGAATTTTCCTACTTGTCGTCTTGCAAACTACGTCATGGGTTTTGTAGCGATCCTAAAACTGCAATCGTATTTGATCGTTACTAATTATATATATTACAGGAATAGCATTAAGTGAATTACTGAAGATAGAAATACGGCTCCAATGCGAACAATCTTTCCGACAATGCGGGGCATCTAAATACGTTTAGTATCTATGTGCATTTATTATGTTCGATGGCTTGATTGCTAACCCGATAAGGCTAGTCCGGTGAACCGACGTAGGCCGTATCTGGGCCTTCTCCGCCAGCTGGGACAATTTTTGCCGAATTTTTATATGCTAATTCAACGTGTGATATCGATAAGCGTTCATGGCTGAATAGAATTCTAGCAAAGCGAAACTACCGAAGTATTCGACTTAAACCGTCCCGTACCCATGACTTTTTAAAAATAACATCCGACTTCTCAGTAGCCAATACGAAACGGAGATACTTAGGAGACGAAATCAATAAATTATGGTAACAAGCGATGCTATACAAAACATTCACGTAGCTGTTTAAAATTTCGGTTCGCCAAAAGGAATGCTGACCACTGCTCAGAGGGTCCGAGTCTAGAATCATATGATTCGTTCACCGTTTAACTTATAAGTAAATTATAACTATACGTCACAAAAATGAAGTGATGAATCAGTTTCACCGTTTAACAAACTATATGAATATAAATGCCGACTCACAGCGGAAGATCGGCCCATAGTCGTGCGCGTTTATGGCCGTCTTGGAAAATCAACGGCTGACTACAAAGAGCTGTACCCCGAGCTTCTACTTTATTACAATGGAAATCATCTAATGTCCTGTCTCCTGGATTCGATTTGTTGCATCCATACGAAAAGTTAGTGGCAGGTTTTGCCGAACGCGTGTAATGATATCTGGTTAGCGAGATTCTTAAGGTAGCGCAAAGTGGGATCCTTGAGGAACGCTATTATCAGATAGTCGGCGTGATCAATATACAAATCTGTATTTAAATTACTGCACGCTAAAGGTATTCTTACATATCGATCAAAATGGAGCAGTTTCTGATGAGACAAGAGTCAGCGCGGACCGGACGGCCAGAGATTTTAGGTACACTATCTCTGTATAGAACGTTTCTACTTGAAGTGACACTTTATATAGCAACTAGAAGGCTGCCGGCCTCGTTCTAACTTGATACGTATTTGACCTGCCACACATCGCGTCTGTTGCGGGTAACATTGACCGCCGTCCATGGTCACGAACTGGGTAGTCAAACTCTGGACGACGTCTAAAGCACGTCGGAACAAATAAGACCCACCAAAATGCACCCGCGGCAAAAAGGTTGCGACAGTATCGACGAGCCCAAACGAACCTAGTCTGAATAAGCATCGTACAATACGTTCGGTACAATGTTAACAAACATAATACACAGTCGACGCAACTACCGAGAAAACTTCTATTGAGGATTATAGAAATTACACGGCGAATATTGGAAATAGAAAAGGAGCGAAAATAGAATGAAAGAAGTCATCATGCATTTTTGCATACGATTCACCCTAATGCGCCCAGTAGGCGTGATCATGCCTAATAGCGATGTCGAACGTAAAGCTAAAAGGATGTTGATAGATTAACGTTCAAGAAACAGCGCGCCAAAATTCAAAAACAAATAAATCGATAACAGCGCGCCAAAATTCAAAAACAAATAAATCGATATCTTCCACAACACTCCTTGTTGCACAGCGCGCATAGTGTCAGATTGACTGAGCTCTTTGAACGTTCTCGGATGCCTTTCTCCAGAGATGAACCTAGGCACAGTAGTAACCCGTTCGCCGTTGTTACCACTTTCGAGGGATGGCGCGAGCCTGTTTGTTCAGCCTACTTCACTCGCAATCGTTGCCATCACCTCAAACTAGTTCACTTTTGTTTGTAGGAATCAACCTTTCTCTCCCTTTCGTTTGCTCTCACGTAAATAACTTTCTCGTTCGCCGCCTGCGCTCTGCGAACTATACTGGCTAAAGAAATAGTGCATCCAGATAGCATAGAGTGCGACATTCTTATTATGACTGCTATTATGGACGACGCTGGGAGTGAACTCTGCCGGCATCGTATACAGACGCCGTAGTAATGACGTCTGCTAAACACACATAGAAACTGTCGCCTGTTTTTTTTTGTTTAGCCATTAGCTATGTTATCCTATCTAAACAAGTCCTGAAAATTAGCTGTTTTCAAGTGACTTCAGTTAAGGACTTGCCTCTATAAGGTGGCTAACCAGCGCTGGACCCTGAGGCCTTTCTATGAAACTGTTACTACTATCATACTAATGGCAGCTGGCTTCGGCACTCAACGAACAACGCACATCAGAGAAGTTATGGGCTTTGTTTCAGAGCAGCTGTAATATAAGGATACGAAAGTTATAGGGCAAAGGCGTATAAGCTGTACAGCGGTCAGCAACCTAACTAGGCTAAACGTGGTTCGTGAACTGCTTATAGTGTATAGATAACTAGCTTAGTTGGTAATGAGAATCCTCTGCTTCCGTTGCTATTAATACAAAATCGGCTCAGTTTGGCGTGTCAGTCGAGAGCTGTCTGGTTATACCAACTTCGCTGAAGTCCTTTAGGTTTCCATCAACAATGACAAAGTCGGACGGAGCGCCGCGACTTCAATCGATGACCGGTATTATTTACTCGGCAGGCTATGGTCAAGACTTCTCATTCAAATGCTGCTACACCTCTGTTAGCCGGATTAATGTTCCGTGTGCTGGGCTTCTCTGCTTCTACCGCCAGAAGTAACAGGGTCGATGCCAATAATATTAACCATTACTTTCACGCACATACCCAATTGATTCGTGACCAGGTCACGCAATTTAACTGGAAGTAACTAGTAGCCAGTAGCGAATTACACCAGCTAACCTTGTTTCAAGCGAAGTAGATGAGCCTCGAAAATGACCGAACTGGTCGTGTTCGGACCTCTGAGTGGGGCACTAGGACCAACGGCGTGACAACAAGGTCCGGCTTGTCAAGCGTATTTAGAAGTCTATAGGGTTGCAGGTCAAAAATCAACAGAGGACCAAAAATTTGCAAACCGACTGCTGCCAACTTGAAGTAGTTCAAACTGCTTGTAGGATTTTTATTTCTTCAGTGATTGATTTTATAATAACTGTACCTGCTGCCTACATGTTAGTAGCTGTCGGGTGAATATGTCGGATTGAACAGAACATAATTTTTGCAAATGGTTCAGGCCTTCACTAACAAAAATTCGGTCTGCGGGTCATCTTCCCCACTTTGGGAGAACAACTAGTGTTTAGGCCTTCCAATGCAAGATGGTAAAGCCTTTTCCCCTTGTCTCAGTGTTTGTGATCATGGAAAGCATGGCACAAAGTAAATATTAGCATTGGGTGAATTTAATACACTAAAGACCTAAACGTTGCTCACAGACAAAGCGATTAGTGAAATAACTATTTGTAAAAAATAAACATATATTTCTGATAGTAAATTATTAGATAACCTAATACAGAACATTGCTACAGTATCCCTCTAACAAGTTAACCAGTCGCTGCAACCAATATGAAAACGTTGTGTACCATCCGAAGCATGGTAGCGGTGTCTTACATTGTACTCAGAACGAAGAACTACCAATAACTTAGGTTCGAAGTAAAGACATGATTCCCATCTTGTGTTTGCAACACCGTTGAATGACGGGCAGTATCTCAAACCAATGTGGTGACTATGAAAGCTCGTTTTCTTTAAACGTATGCATGTCTCGAATTATTACCAGTTCAACACTATACCATAATAAAACAAAGAGATATGCATGCTCCTATTGTCGAGCTTTTTCGTGCCTTTTTACAGTAGGCCGAAACCTAGCAAAATGTAGGACAACCCAGAATAAGTGCTGCGGAGCTAAAAGTAAGATATAAACGAGTGATACGCGAGGTGTTACGTCGATCATGCACGTAATATTACCACTTCACTATACAGGCTCAGCTAGCCACGCCTATATCCATTAAAAACGAATTTAGGATTGGAGTAAAGCTTCCTCTAGAACGATAGAGAAATAGATTCAATCGTAGTAAAAACGGAATACGGTAAGTGAGTGAACATCGGCAATGACTAGAGAACGCAATGCGATTTACTTAGAGAAGGGGTACTAAGTCCGCATGGTTATTGGCTAATCCGGTCAGTCGAAATCTCAAGTCTAGGCTAAAAAATAAAAGTCTATTTTCTGCAATCTGTAACAATACATTGCGCCCACTTTCGTGGCTTTTATCGTAGATTGTAGCGCCAGCGAGACCTATTTTGGCCTGTCCTAGTTCTGATATTATCTGTGCAGAAGCACATTAACCATTAGCTTAACATTAGCCATGAGCGCTTTAATTATACACCAGGCGGGACTCGATCAATTTTCACGTAGTTTGTTCTTGTTAATTAACTCACATTTTCAATGTATTCGAACGGTTATTATAATACACTTTAAGATAGGTAAAAAAGCGGGGTAATTTCGAACGGTACCTCTATTCAAAAAGATGCCAGGTCAACTCATCAAGTTATCATATGCACATCTAGTATTAGTAAATAAGAAAAATCCTCTAAACGAATCTATTAGGCAACGGCGACAGACACGGACACAATTGAAGGCCCACTGACATAACACACCTTAACAGAAATTCCATCTGTGAAGTACTGTGCCTAAATTGAACATATAAAAGCAATAACTTTATGTATTTAAACACAGTTGTATGTGAAAATGCAAGCCAAAATGGGAAACAGCATTTTCTCATCGGAAAATACTACTCGTTCCTTTGGGCGGTCTTCTGGAAAGCAGTTAAAAAACTTCTGGCCACATGTAACGAAGTATTAGACTGTCATCTATTTAGTTATGGACATCATTATGCTTGTTAAAGCAATAAAACTTCGAATCGCGGGCCTATTCTGGCAACTTACCTAGTTTGAGTCTAAGTAGTTGTAGAATATATTACTTCGACGCTAGTCAAGCTCATAACTCAACCCAAGCTGGGTGAGTTTTGTCAAACAAGAGTCGACGATTTAGCAGTCCTGGTAAGCAGGCACCTTATATTATCTATAGCGTTGATTTCTGCCGTCTAAGTTGCATTGTGGGTATCGAAAATTTAAAGGGTTAGATGCCTTGTATTCGTAGTCACCAATGATGACCATGCATAAGGGAATACCGGCAAGCTGTAAATTATTGTTTAAGATAAACGATATCTGAGTGTCGTGGCACCTTGCATCGCGAATTCGATTATCAGGAAGGTCATTCACGGTGACAATCGGGGTTGAGCTGATGACTCTACGAACGACTTCGACGAACAATAGCAAATCTTAATGGATCTCCTTGAAGATAAGAATTTAGTGCTTCATTTCCATGACACTGGGACTTAAAAGATAATCATGAAGTATAACATTAATGAACTACCAGAATATTTAACCAAGGCGGCGCACGTCAAGTTTATAAAGATTTGGAAAGCTAGAAGCTTAACTGAAAACACCCTTCGTTATTTTGCAAGTTCTAGACGCCCAAAATCTACGAACAATGGTATCTAAATAGGTCCTGCGTAAATGTGTCCTGGTGATAATGATACTTACTAGAAACAACGATTTACTAGAGGATAAGAAGAAATTTCCCGTTTTCCCATATATTTCTCTGACAACCTGGGTCTTAGATAAACTAGTTCTACAGTGAAAAGCTTACGGAATTACCGGGATTCCCCGTTTGTTGGCCTAGCCAGTGTTACCATAAGTATCCTTCTTTATTCCATCGAGAATTCCTTCGGGCGATAATTAAAATAGAATGGCGTTCTGATAACTTTAACTTAGCGTGGTTAGCGAGTTGACAGTTTGAGACCCAGTAGATGGTTCTGCAAGAATTCCATACACGAAAATGGCCATTGTAGGTAATAACTAAGTATAAATATTTTGCCCCCTTCGTCTTCTCGTAAATAGACGTTCTATTCGTATGTATTTGCATTCGTAACGTCCAGAAACTTCTCAAATATTTTGATAAGCGATCTCTCAGTTCTTGCACGCAGTCCTGCTGTAAACTGCTAACTAACAGACGCGTCACCTTCACAAACGTTGAAGCTGCTTTTCTTAAAACAGTCGACATTGAAACAAAGCAGTTCTGTATCTTGGATTCGTAAAATTGCTCTCTGTCTCCGAAGCGCGCAGTTACTAAATCAGATCAGACTCTCTGGCTATAATGCTTGGATACATAATATGATATTACTTTCTATTTTGAGTTCAATCGGGAGAAACATCTATTTGTATATGTATATGTCCGATATGTTTATGCAGCCTATACATATTTCGAATTTTATCTTCATTATGAAGTACAGATCCTGAATCCTGAGAGACATGATATTCTCAAGCAGTCAGCGCGAACATGTCATTGTTACAAGTACTGAATGATTTCAAATCGATCCAACTGCTTCCAGATCAAAAAGTTACCAGAATAGCATGCTCGTTGATGTATGTAGAAAGAACTGCCACGCATTGTTTTTCCTATTACGTCACAGGACCTGAAGACGCGGTAGAGTCTGTGTACAAACACGAAAAAGAGAATCCCATCACGGACACGCTTGTAATGTCGGAGACTACCCAATAAACGTTTTGGCGATCGCACTGTAGTAGTAACCCAGACATTTTGTATAATGAATTCTTTTACAATACAAAAATGGGTTCTTCACATACATAAAATTGCACAACCTCTTTTCCTATCCTGTGTTGCGCTATGGTCTGATTTAGGTCTACAGTACCTCTTCAATCATATAAATAACCTTATCCGTCTATTCGTGGCTAACATCACGTCATCCAATGCTTCTGAAGATTTATTTTTTACAAATCCATGGTTGAAGTGGCAAGTGGTTTGAATTTAGGAAGGTTCTGCAAGGTGTCAAAGTGCTCTTTTTCGTCGTTCAAGCAAATGCGACTAATATGGTAATGGCGGTCTAAATCTATCGAGCTCTGGATTTTAGCGGGCTTCAGTAGTATTGTGCAGAAACTGTGTTTCCGCAGAAAGACAAAGTGATAGAAAGCTGCGCTCTGCCATGCAGAATTATACTCTGCATAAGATTAAGCTGAGTGCGAACAAACGGTACGACTAGCGCCGGCAATTGATACGATTCGTTAGACACGTCTGAATAGCAAACTCAGTAGGACATTGATTAGGCCTACCTACAAACCCGGATAGCTCCTCTCACCTGACGAAACGGACATACTGCCCCCGTAGTCCTTCTCGGAGGCAGTAGCCAACGATGGATGACTCGCTTTAATCATGAGATCATTGAGCTTTGCTGAAATTCAGATTGACAATAAATAGGAAAAAAGAAATCAAATTATTTGCGTATTGTTACACTGGGAACGGTAAAATCCAAGTAAAAATCATCGAACCGCACAATGTTATTCTTCCATGATGCGGCGAAGTAAATTTAGCTTGACCGATATTTGGATGACCCAAGCATGATCCCGAAAACTTTCTATTAAAACATTATTTCTTCATTATTCTTATTATTATTATTATTATTAGATGTATTAGATACAATTATTTCATCATACTTTTAGATGCTGTGCTAATTATGAATTGTATATTGATTTCCGTTGCTTAAATTTATTTTCCGGCGTTTTAACAAAAAACGTGTAATAGGTAAGGTATAAGTTTCGGCAACATTTATGATGTTATCCCACAAAGTACTTTTCCAGTCTTGGTAGTTGACTTTAAGGAGTTTTTGAAGATTTTTATCGATTAACGCTGAAGGCAATATGTGTTATTAGCTTGTTAAGAAGACAGGCTTTTTCTCCTATTGGTCTTTTGTAAGTCGCTTGGGCCCACGAGAAAAACACTGGATCTGTTGTGTGTTATCGTATCAAGAGCAAGCTTTATGTATTCGCAAAAGAAAGCGATTGATATAAATAAATGTGTGCAACTAAAAAATCGGATTTAGCTGTGTATGAAATAACTGTCCCTCAAATGTACCTTGTCTATTTCTATAGACGCAATGTAAAAGGCAAATTATGAAAAAAATGGCACAAGTTACGCTAATTCCAATAGCAGCCTTTGTTCCGCTGGGAACCTCAGCCGGACGCTCTCGCACTGCTGCATTTTGATCATTTGCAGCCTGACGCCTAACACATGAGACAACAAAGACAAATAGTTAATTGACCTGATTAGTAAAGAGTGTATGGGTTTATTTGAAATAAAGTTCGGACGTACCTTTTACACTAACATAGCTAATTAAGTACTTGTTTGATAAGAGCATAAGGTCCAATACGTCATCCCCAAGAAAAGAAAGAACAACACTTATTTAGCCTGATATAGCGTCGGGTTATTGTTTTCCACGTGTAAATTGAACGAAACTACTTAGAAAAGATTTCCCTCATTCAATTGTCATTCACAGACTTTCTATTCCGTAATGTGATCAGATAGTACTTAAAGAACTTACCGCACCCGGTTGTGATATCGGGTTGAATATAGATCCGTTTTCCTTGGACGCCAATAAGATTTGTAGACCTCGCTACGTTCCAGCTCGATCCGAAAGCCCCAGATTCGTGCGGGCCATAAGGTTTGGTGTTCAGAAGGACGGGGTAGGATGGAAGGCCTCGGACGAGTGCGAAAAACCGTAGATAAGGTTGCAGAAGCGAGCAGTTCAAGGGGCATCGATAATTTGCCATTGCAATACACCAGGCATTCTACGCGACTGTGATTCGTATCTATAACACAGTCGTCCAGCGTATACGTGACACATTAAATAAGGAAAAACGGTCTAAAAAAATTTTAAAAATAGATTGGGTGGAAACTATCGTAGTAGGTGCTATAGAAGCGATTGCTTGTAGACCACTTGTATAATTTGATTGCATTACCTATAAAAGTCAAGAAGGCATTAATATCTATCTTTGTATATTACGTTCAGATTAGGCATATGCGTTTTAAGTGGAAATATTACGACTGTGCTCGCGTGCCTGGACTTTAGAATGTTTTGATAACATGCCGTTCATTGTGGGGTATTATCTAAGATATAGGACAAAAAAAAAGGGGATTGTAGGTGACTGGCTGTAAAATAACTAAACGATTAGTTGATAATGATAGTTGTCGCTTGTCTCCCGTTGTGGCCCGCGCACAAATAGCAAGCGATATCCACGTGAGCAAGTCTTCAAAAAAAAACTAGATCAATTCAAGGGCTGCGACTTTCTTGTGGTTTGTCTAACAAAGCTACAAGGGAGCAAGGTAGCCACGTAGAAAATTGTTCCTTCTAGAGTTTGCTGCGTATCTTTCGGCCTTCTCATTATCGCTTATCGACTTTAAGCCATTGAAGCTTAACTCTGTAGGAATTATACACTTTGTAAGGTTCTGTGCTACATGTTTGAGCCTGGAAACGATACCTTCGAACCTAAAAATATTTGAACTTTTTAATTGATGGTAGAATATTATTATTCTTACGATTATTATGTAGTCGCCGTAAAGCAGCAGAACACAAGTTTACCGTTATTTTAACGCGGGCTAGTTAGGAAACATCCTCCGCAACTCGTTGGAACCTGATGCATAGTTCCGCTAGGGTAAAAATCTTTGCAGACAACGGAAATTATATTACCTGGAACTACTATTCTATGCAATGTCAAAAAATGCAAGCACCAAATAGTTGACTGCTTCTCAAGGACGGCTCGAACTTCGTTCTAGAATCGTTGTATGGTATACGATTCTCCCTAGTGAAGTCCCACACGCCGTGAATGTAACATAAACAAAAAATAAAATCACAGCGGAAGAAAAATGACCGTTTTTTTTTTGTAAGTATGAAATTTTAGCGAGGTTGCAGGGGTGTTGACCCTTAAATTGACTTTATTCGGTAGTGGTTAGCTTAGTCAACTGTGTTCCCCGCAGATGCTCGGGTTTTTTAGACAAATGCTAATGGCTTCTATTGCAGCAGGCAAATTCAACGTGTTTATTTCAACAGCTACGACACTGACTCCTCGAAAGTATTGTGAGGCTGTAGTGACAAAGCAATTGGGCAGTAAGTCATGACAGTTCTGTCAAAACTAGCTAGGTGGGTTGGCCCATGTGTGAAACGATTGATTTGACGGAACTTTCCACCTAAAGCCTTCCAGCGTCATCGATGTGTCAGGGAATAGGACTATTGCGTTTTATGCTGCACTCTCAAAGGCGACATCAATGGAGAGCAACGCACATAACAAATATCTCTCTTCAAATATCTCCTTGTTGGTTTTTATATCACTTTGTGTCGAATGTTGGACGAGGGCAATGAGTGATCAGCAGGTGATGAAGGACATCTATAGCATCGACAAAGAAAACCACTTAATAACTATCATAGCTGCAATAGGGCACGGGTGAGCTAAACTGAACAAAAGGTTAACTTGTTTGCGAACTGCTATTCAATAATCAAAAAAAAAATCATATTTCTGACCCGTAGATATGTACCCGTACCTATAACGGTACGCTACATTCAACTTACTGAGCTGGCATACCAACACGTAAACGCTGTTTCTACAGACGTGAGATATCAGCAACTAACGCATCGCTTTTGGTGATTTCGCCCACGTTTGAATTCAGTCCTATCAATATAGGATAAGTGGCTACCGGTCAAAAATCATTAGCAAATTCTTTGTAACATATTGTAGGTACAATGACGCCGCTGAGGTCCTTTGAGTCTTTCGCAAATGCCAATCATGTTTATGCAAAGCACTTCAGTTTTGCTCTTCAGTTACTATTTGCTAGAATCCTCTAGCTAGATTTAGTGCTCGGATATACGAAAGATATTCATTTTACTTCACGTAAAATGTTAGCTCTTGCTAGGTATATTCAGAAAAACAGCTTACGATGCGTTTGTGTGCAGGATATGTTGGGCAACATTTCTGAACGGCCGGAGGACGACGTCGGCGATTTGGATGGCGATAGCAAGGAAGTTGTTGAAGTGCCGCTCAAAACGCTTAGGACAGCTGTCTGCGCTAATAGCGAAGGCGGACTTAGGCGAAGACGCAACGATAGGACCACCGACTGAAGGCCGCCTGATGGTATGAATAATGCACTGCAAATTAATGGAAAGAGACCCGAATTAGACCTTGTACAAGCGAACCAAGATAAATTGGTCCCAGCATCCACTCCTTATAGTTTACTGATCAACAGACATCCACTGTCAGTAAATTAAAACAGCTGAACAACCAAGACTACACTTAGAATTTTATGAAGTCGTGCTTTTTTACTGCCGGCGCAAGGACTGATGACACAGCGATGCCTGAACTTTTCGTTTTTTTTTTTCTGCAATATTTGCAGAAAATCTCGACTGCACGCTCGGAAGTGTTGTTCCGCATTGAAAATTCTAACAATATTGTGCGGTTTAAACAAGCATCTGATAAGCCAAGAACGGTCGCAATTAAACAGAAAAAGCGGAAACAGAGTCTGCATATCTCCCTACATTTTCTGTTGATTCACGACCCGTATTTAATATACAATTAACAGTAACATTAATACAGTTGCTCTTAAACATCTTTGGTCGGATAATGTTTTAATTAAATTATAATACACCACTCACCAATTAGATGCCATATGTCAATCAGTGGCCTTCGAAAGGATATATAAAGTGATTGCCAGACATTCGTCTAATATCTGAAACATCTTTTCACCAACAAAATATTCGAATAAAATATGCCATATATATATATATATATATATATATATATATATATAGAGAGAGAGAGAGAGAGAGAGAGAGAGAAAGTCATTGCGTTTACTACTCGCTACAGAGGGTACGCATGTTAATCAACTATTTTTATGCGGTCGACGGCAATATTCTGAAGGCCACTGAGTTCGGCGACTATTGTGCCTCAGGTACAAACAATAATCCTCTTTTTTCAAAGAATGCCAATCGTCTGGCAACACCATGTTTGTTTTATGTAATAAAAAAAGAGGGTATTCCCTAATTTACGTTCGGTACTTCTAGGCTCCTCTAGACATTACATTGGATGGCTAATTTCTAGCACGAAGTAAAGTATGTCTGCGCCCGAATTCCTTCTTAGATCACCACATGTCCGCAGATTTAACAAGTAAATTCTATTATTTCTGCCTTACTATATGTTCTATTATTAATGCTATTATGGGAATCTTTGAGAATAATCTGCGCATCGCCTTAGTCGCCAGTTTGATCTATCAGTATTCGCGTTAACGCTTTCCATACCTCTACATAACTATGACCTGTTCGCCAGCTTCCTCTGCAGTGAACCCATGCATGACCTACCACTTTAGCTGCACACGTTTTTAGAGGCCGAGCCACAACGGAGTACTAATGAGTCAATACACAACTCGTATAGAAAATCTATGTAGCACATAGATAAGCAGAATGAAAGTTTTGAAGTCGTTCTTCAGCCGCGACCCAGCGCGCGAAGGCAAACTTGGCGCACCTTTCTAAAAGAATGTGGCATGTAACCATTGGCACTTCGACCATAGGCATCGCGCGAGAGATCACTCTGTTAATTTCCCATCTTAGGCAAAAAAGGGCACGTCGTACGTCCGGATTAGGCTTACGATAAAACTCGGAGCATAAACGAATGAATAAAAAAAATATAGCCACGTTGACTGGCCCTTTTTTAACCTCTGTTTCGCAGGAGAGATATTGTTTATTGCATCCGGCTAACTTGTTGCTGTTTGTGGGTCACCTGCGACGGTATGGCGGTATGACCGTAGATGACAGATTAACAGCAGAAAGAAACAACGATATCGTTACTGGGTAAGGCCGAATTGCTTGAGAGTGTCAGATCAGGTAGAAGAAGGACAGGAAGGAGATCGTCCTTATAGCATTACGTCATCATGTGGATTCCCATACCAGTAGGAAGTGTGCCTTAAACACACAACCAGTCAGAAAGGGCCTTGACCATTGTTTCTGCCGTTAATTCTTCTGTGGCCTAGTAGTCTGAGTTTGGTTCTCGTGTAGAATACAGGACTAATCGTACAATGACGACGAGATGTACGAAATAGTGTTCTTACGTGCTATTCAAGTACTTTCTACCTGCTAAGAGAATTGTAAAGCAAGTGGTCAGTTTAATATATTGTAGGACACGAGAAAAAAGGACGATTTTTCTATCATCATATGCTGGAGAAAACTGATTTTTTTTAGGAAAAAATCATACCGCATCACAAAGTGTCTGGCTATTTGTCCAGGTCAGAGTAATTATAACGTGAAAAACTTCATAAGAACGCTTAACGCTATTTGAGAATAGATTGGCAGCTTAGCAAATCCACTCTAATTATTACTTCCACAATATCGTGTATTCCTCGCGTAGCTCGTGTATTCCTTTTCTATGCTTTAAGCCATTATCCTATCTAAACAGTCGTATCGTTTGAGTAATTCCGTCAGTTTGTTTTAGTTATTTAGTGATCCTGACTTCAGATACTTTACTATCATGCTCTAGCTTCCATGTGTATTTATAGGACTTCGGATTTTAAAATCGTTTGTAATAATTAGAACCGTCGAGGCGACACGGAAATAAGTAAGTGAAAAAAATAAAGACGTATTATTTACACTTGAATATTTCTTCTGTTAGCGAATAATACTTGCCTCTTATCCAGCTCACTAGAAGAACTTTCCTTCTTTCATTCTTCCTTAGTATAACCTGATCTTTCTAAGAGGCGGTTTTTACCACAAGATTGTTTTGTCAAGGCAGGCTCATGCATACAAATCGGTTGAAACGGTTCGAGCCGCTTTTGGGCTGACTGGCGTACACACGGATGTACGCGAGCGTCTATTCGTATTAGATATGGAATAGTGTATAACAAAAATAGATAGTTTCGGCTAAACATCGATTCGTCTGGGATTCGTGACGCCTAAAAAATAAAACGAGTGATCACTCACATTCTTGTCCTTCATATTTTAACGATATAATTTTATATTTACGGCGTCTGTAAAACTGCCATGGTTATATCATGTACAAAGATCTATACTTCTGAGTCGATGACTTCTACCCGTTGTTATTTACTACGTCTCCAATACGTGCTATTGGTCAAAAAGACTGCCTTAGCTGAAGTATCGATGCTTAATAAGATAATTGCAGTAACTTTAAGTGGTCAAATGACGGTAAGTGACAGTAATCCCGTATAGGTTAGTAAGACTATCCATTATTCATTTCTTAAAATACTTTTTTTTAGATATAGATAAAAAATAGAATTTTTTAAGCATCCACTGGGGGTATTGATTGAGTAAAGTCCTGTGAAGGTCGTAAAAATTAAAACGTTTTTGATTCCTACACTATAAAATTATGTTTCGCCGTCTACCAGACCCCTCGTTGCTTCTCGCTTAATTTCTAGTGTTATGATTTTGTATTTCTAATATTATTTTATTATTTTTAGTAACATATAGCAAAACATATTCAAAAAACACCGAGGCTCGATTCGATTGTGCGAAAATGATCTCCTGCCGTTACACTGCCTCTTTTGGTATGGCACCCATGCGATACGTACACAGGAATAGCTTCTTGCCTAGGAGGCGTTTTTTCCACTTCACATTCAGTTGGAACTGAGAGCACGGCAGATCCTTTATCTTTGATGTGAGCAGTTGGTTCTTTTGTTACTTACAAGATGCCCATTTTAGCAAACATTTAGGTTTAGTAATCTGCCGTTCTAAATACCCCACACAAGAGTTTTGGATATAAGAGCCTTTCGACGACAAGCTATACATGATCTGCTCTTTGACTAAATTTACTCTCAATCGATAAAGAATATTCAAAGAGCTATAGCCTTAAAGTATTGACTAATCGATCGGGCTAAATGCGGGTATATAGTCATAAAATCACGTGTTGGAAAATTTCAAACAAAAATTGTCAAAACATAGACTTATTTAATGCTTTCGTTACCATTGATGAGAAGCTTAGAAATTGTATCCGAGTTCATCCCCTATGCTCTGCTTATCATAATGCTGATATTCCAACAGGCTTTGTAACAGTTTTCTACAACATTTTTTCGCCGAAACTTTTCGTCTTTCGTACTATGTATAATTGCACCAATGTGCTTTTATGAGAGTCTCTATAATGATTATACTAGGTAAAGCGAAAGAAGAATAACTAAAGGAAATGTAAGACGAACCTATGACCAGCGTGCTAGATACGTAAGCATTAGCCACTTGCTACTTACTATTTCTTAGGAACAAGGCTAAAGTTGCCTGGGAAATTGATGATAAGGCCACCCACCCATAGCGTTTTACACGTCGAGATTTTCTCTATTTGTACAACGTTATTCCCTTTCTTTCGCGCTCTGAAGGGTGCTTGAACATGGCTTCCTTGAAGCAAGCCTTATTGAACTTTTCCGTTCTGTTTTCCTTCCCAGAAACGGTCGGCGGTTTGATCCGATTGTTACATAGGTAGCACACTGCTCTGGACGTATTGCCAGGATGTCTACAAAGATGCATCGGAATTTCACCGCCGGAGCTAAGAAAAGCTTTCGCACTAGGATTATCACTGCTGCAGGAACAAGAAACAAGATTCGCGTTCAGAAACACAAGCAGATATTTCTTGTCGTAATATACGAACCAGGAGAGATCCCTGTATACTATATGTGACAAACTAGGATCTCCTCCTTGGTGTCCAGGAAAAACAAGCGTATTAATGGTAACAGATCTTCAGAAATGGTTATGGTAGTCGCTGAGAACGGCGAACGATTTGCGCATTTTCCGATGCTCTACTTGTGGAGAGTCAGGACATGCGCATCTGGCGACTGGCAGATCGCTCTCTAGAACGATTTTGAGGACTCAGCTCAGGATACCCCAGCCGAGACAGTTATTACAGCTGTGTTTTAATCATTTCTGAAGCCGCATCGCCGATTAAGATCAGCTGAAAAGATGCCTTCAGCGTATGACTATATCGATGGAACGTGAAGCCGGCAGAGAAAGCTTGTTCTTCTATCTATTGTTCATAGCATTGATCGTATACTTTGTGGTGGAATCTCTTTGCTTTTTATTTATTTGCCCATTGAGATTTTCTCTAAATAAAATATCCTTAGTGCACCATAGAAGGTGGCCATTCGTAAAGGAATAGATAAACTGGCTTTCTTCTAGAATGAGATTTTGCTATTCCACGATTATTAACACCATTCGACTCACAGAATTATCTGTATATCTCCGTAATCTGAACCCGTGCGCGGTCTGTTATACGAAGACAAAAAAAGAGTAGAGTTTTTAATTCGATAGAACGTAATTGGCAAGTCAACTGGCATCCTCTATTGAGCACCAAAAAGGACAACGTTTAAAAACAGCTCAATCGATACAGTATGCGACGATTATACCTTCCCAGGACAATCCCAAATTTAAAAAATGTACATTCCTGACGTACCATTTGCTGGCCAACTTAATCGTAGCTTCTACGGAATCGCGAAGCCAAGTCTGAAGGAAAGCAGAAACACACAGATGATGCGGCAGGTTCTCATTTTTGGACAACGGCAAGATCAGCTTGTCCCGAAAACCTTTCTGAACCCTATTAGTAGAGACCACGCACGTTTTTAGGAGTGGACAAAATTAAATCGCGTCTTATTTCAAAACCATTGTGCCATCAGTACCGAGTGTTTACTTAAAAATACATATCAAATGTGTTGTCACAAATGTACGATACCGTATACTTAAGATTCTCATTGTATAGCCATTACGGGGATCAGTCTCATAGGACGACTTGAATAGGCTTGCTGAGAACTCACTAGATTTCTGGGAATATATACGTAGAGGCTCTTGTCAAAGAAAACACAACATAGCATTAGCCACCATTTTTTACTACCACTACTAAAAAAAAAAAATAACACAATGGAGTCTTTCCAGCGTTTAAAAAAGCACGGCCATTTCGTGATATTACGAACTCAACGCTCTCATAATATTGATGTAGATATTAGAGCATTTTATGGCTTACAATCAGAATTGACTGAATCCACGTATGCTTTCTCTACGCCTTTGGTCTTAGAATTTGGAAAAGCATGTCTAAGTACGCATTTGTAGGTATAAGCCTATCTTCAAACATAAGTTAATTCCGTATACCTTAATAGAGTTTTATTCGTTTTATTTAATCATACACACTTTTCTCAGACCTGTTCACGACTGCACGCTAAATAATGAGGCCTTTTTACTTCGTTTTGCGAATGAAGCATATATTTGTAATAGTCTTGTTGGCCTCTAGCTGTTCATGACGGTTTATTTACAAAAATAATTTTTCGTCGTTTTTAAAAACTTCCGAAAGATATTTTACCCGAACTGGTTAAATTCCAGCCAGGGCGTTTCAATTATAAGATTGGCTTGAACAATGTCAGCAGCAGTGTCGAGCAAGTTTTATTCATTTAAATATGTGAGTCCATATCCCGCATTTGAGCAAGTTAATTATTTCAACTCATCCTACGCATTGATGCCACTAAAGTTAAATTTAAGTGGAGTTTCTAATCATTTTTATTAACAGTTAATTAAACAACCTAATAAATGTCGCCCGTGTCGGGCACGTAAATTCAAATTTTGGCAAATCCTTTTTGGTAGGCCTAATAGATTGACAGGCTGCCTCTAGACCTGCTCCGTGTAAACATATTTGTGCTTGTCTAAAAAAAGACAACTAACATTTTGACAACTTTTTGTAATCATGGGTGAAGCAAAGGCGCAGCTTACAAAAATTATCCTTTCTCCGTATCCATTCTGGGCCATCCAATGTCCAATTCATTTCTAGACCGTTGCAGCCCGCCTCATGCATACACTAACCTTAGTGCCAATCCGGGTTTTTACTATTGGGCGCAGCCAGCCATATGCGCCAGCAACGCCGTTCCAAAAAAAATCAACTTGGCCCAGAGATTATGCATAGAGGTATAGTGCCATGACCGCAATGACTCCACATTATGTTTCATACACTGCCCCAGTTACTTTGTCGGAAAAGCACAGTTCGAGCTATAAAGTATTAACGCGTTAACAACTAATCCACAAGTTCACCGTCAAACAGGTTTACTGACGAGGCCACAGGGGGCCTGTCCTATCAGAGCTCACGACTTAGAGCTAGCAGATCACCCCGCTAGTTAGCCAACCCGCAGAAGCCGACCTAAACGCAAGGTTATACCCTACGAGGCATTCGTCAAGGCTTCCTGTCCCGTGGAACGTACCGGCATTAACGCGTACAAGATGGACCCTTTGACATCCTAATAGGCTAAATCGGTATTGTAACCTATCAGAAACATTCGAACAACTGCTCTTGTTAATGTCTCGTTAATGGACAACAAGGAACTCTACCCTTTATTACTTGTAGTTTATTTAAAGTTATTGTCTACCGCACTTGAGTGAGGCGATCTGTGTTGACAAATTTTCAAGACATTTTAATTGATGCTAAGTCCTAGCTACATTTCATGCGACTGAGGTATTCTATTGGCGGTACGTGTTACGTGGATTTGATATAGCATAAATAAACTGAGAATATCAATGATGAAAATAAAGATCAAATAGCTATTATGTTCGCTTAAAAAACCTGCAAGGAAGACCACACAGTTGATACACAGC